TAAAAAAAAAAAAATAAAAAGAAAAAAAAAAAAAAAAAAAAAAAAAAAAAGGTGGACATGTCTATGATAACTTACAGTGTTCACAGGGTCCAGAATTTCTGAAGGGACACCCTCCACTGCGGTGGGGATCTCAAGCCCAAAAATCTCAGTCTTCTTGTACTCTTCATTCAGGAGGCTTCCAGAGTGAATGGCATCAATGATTTTTCTTGTGTATTGTAGTTTAATACGACTCCCATAACCATAGCTGCAGTTTAACATATGATATAATTTGGTGAATTCTAGACTTTGTAGGGTACAATACTATATAAGGTCAGAGAGAAATTCTATCTCAATGACATAATTAGAACCATACCTGCCAGCAGACCAACCAGTGTTAACCAGCCATCCAGTAGCACCATGTTTCTGCATCTTGTCAGCAAGCATTGCCGCGTACTTAGTAGGGTGTAGCATAATGAATGCTGCACCAAAACAAGCTGAAAAAGTTGCCTGGGGCTCCTTTACGCCTTCCTCTGTGCCAGCCACCTAAAGTTGTTATAAAAAAAAGATTGTGAGAATTACAGAAAAGGCAACATTAATAAATACTATAACGTTGGAATGAAGCTAGTTAATGTGAAACATTACCAAAGCAGTGTATCCACTGATGAAATGGTACATGGTCTGCGCCAGGTTTAGCTTGCTCACGGGTGGGAGCACACCAAATGCGTCACAAGCCAAAAGTATGACATTCTTTGGGTGAGGGCCAACACAAGGTAACTTTGCATTTGGAATGTACTCTATAGGATAAGCTGCACGAGTATTTTCTGCAAAATAAAAATAAAAAAATGATCATGCAATTATGTAATTATTAGCAGGGTTCTCTTGTAATGGATGATTACAAGCTACGTTTACACGTAGCACCCCAAAATTCCCCGTCAAGTTCTGTCATATTGCTTGATTAAAGACAAAATAATGTTCATATTCAATTATTTATCTGTCATATTCTTGTGACTTTATTATTCAATTCCTTCTTGCGTATGTGCGGATGTTTAGTTTTATGAAGTGGCCTCGCATTATAAATAGATTAGCTGTTGCTTCTGAAAAACAACTTGCACGTATGAGGTCAACTGTTCATTAGCAAGAAAAAGTCTCAGCTTAGTCCTATTGTTGTCAGCTAACCGGCAAATAATTTAATAACACAATCAATTTCATTACACAATCAAAATCGGGTTCAACCATGACAATATAATTACCTGTAACCGATTTATCACAGTAATCAACTTCTCTGTCATGCTCATCAAACACCACGTTTTCCAAGACTGGAAATCAAGTGAAAGAAGAATAAAAAGTCAAAATGCATTTCATATTAGGAATAGGAGGGAAGTGAAAGACAAATAAAAAAGTGAAAATGCTTTTTTTTATTTATTTGGGGCTGATCAAATACCTGTGCCAAACCTGATTGCATTCCAAATATCAGGCTCTTTCTCCTGCGAGAGATCAATGCATTTGGCATAGCAACCACCTTCAATGTTGGAGACACCATTGTCACTCCAACAGTGTTCATCATCTCCAATTAAATACCTATTGTGGTCGGTAGAGAGAGTGGTCTTTCCAGTGCCTAAAAGAAACAATAATAAAGAAGAGAAGAAAAGGGTCCATCAGGATTATAGGAAAAGGCAACACAAGTAGCCATAACAAGCATACAAGAAAAGCAGTGGAGTATTGAGTATGGCTGAGGAAGGAAGGTAGGGTAGCTGTGTGGAGGCACACTATACCGATGCAACCTTTGATGGGGTGATACTATACCTGAAAGTCCAAAGAAGAGTGCAACATCCCCATCTTTGCCCATGTTGCATCCAGAGTGTAGGGAGAGGATTCGACGCATAGGCATGAGATAATGCATGACACTGAAAAGACCCTTCTTCATTTCCCCGGCGTATTGTGTGCCGAGGATGACCATTTCCCTCCTAGCAAGATTAAGATCTATGCTAGTGGAGGATGTCATGTAGTGAGTATAACGATTACACGGGAACTGTCCAGCATTGTATATAGTGAAGTCCGGAGTACCAAAATTCTCCAGCTCTTCAGGAGTGGGTCGGATACACCTGTCACCCACCCAGTTATCCACTTGTACACTAAACTAAACTAACATGCATTCGGGGGGACCTTTTCCTCCATTCACATCACCACCCATATATATATATATATATATACATGTATGTATAAATTTATAATAAATTAAGGCTTTCAACGATAGGGCACTTATCTGGCGGGGCTTATACCTTTACCTTTTGTCTCGAAGGAAGAAGAGAGAAAGAATGATCAAGTTGGCAATGGTAAATTATTCTTTAGTTTTCACTTACATGTTGTGCATGTACAATGAATGGTAAGCTCTGGCAGAGACAATCCGGACTTTGATTCTGTTCTCTGTGTCCCAATTCAAGAACTGGTCATTGACGAAGACCTGCATATCACCAATGTTATTGCTAGTAGGAGGAATTGTCATCCAGATAAGATCAGATATGATATGATATAAAGTATAATTGTTGTTTAAGCAACAAATTGATCATTCATTTGAACATGCAAATCACAAACATTGTTATTAATTAGAACACTATTAATTGGGATCTCCATCCAATGAGATGAGACATGATATAAAGTACTAGTATTTTTATTATTTAAGCAAAGAATAACTGCTTGAAAACTCTCATCCATTACTCAGGGAGCTTATCCTAGTATTCACTGTGAAAAAATTTGCTACGATTCTTAAGAGTTTACTAAAATTGTCATGTAATTCCAAACAATCATTACTTTTATAATTATCTTAAAAATTATATGAAAGATAATTTCTGATTAACTAAACTTTTATAATAACGATGCATATCTACTAAACTCAATTTTAATATAAAATGATGTTGTATAACAGTGTTTTGTGGGGGCGGATAGCATTACAGATACGAACAAACAGCTGGACGCTTTTCTAACGGAAGTAATGAACTCATCACTAACATAGAAGGACAAGGCACGGCACATCACAGTCACAGTCTCTGTACTGTGAAAGGAAAGGTATATATCCTTATTCGTTCATGAATCCTGCGGTTGAGTAATGGTTTTCTGGATGCACAATTGCATAACCTCTATTTCTTAACAGAATGAAAATACCCATAAACATACTAAATACAAAGCACCGCTAAGCAAAGCCAGTACAAAACACGAACCACCCTATTCAAAGTAAATGACACATGACGAAAGTGTCGTGTGACTCGTGTTTCCTAAGGGATCAACCGAACTTTTCTCTCGCCCACTCACTTGGACAAAAAGACAATCCAAGCACCATCCCCACGTCACCATCTTAAAAGCCAAAACACGAGATACACATACGCCTTCCTCTTTAGCTATCATGGACCGTTCGTTAAAATATTCATTAAAAGTTATCATCATCGCATTTTTCTAACAAAAACTCGAGTGGAAAAAAAAATATATCTATATCGACATCGTAATTTATAAGTCATACTCATAATTTTTAATTGGTTCATCGTATAAAATTTCCTTACTAATATAATATCTGATTATTTTCAATAAAAGAAGGGGAAAATTAAATTACCTTGTCCAAGGAGTTCAAGTAATCAACAGCTCTTTCTCTGTTCACCATGAAAGTGTGCTCGTCCATCTCGATGTTAGGGGAACCCCTGTGATTACCAAATATGGAAATTAAATAACGTGTGATCCATTGCAAATAAAGACAAAGAAAATGGAACATATAGCATGACAGAGATATATAAGCCGCAAATATTATTAGTTGTTTAAACTTAGTACTCACTTTCCCCACCAAAGCTCGTTCTCAGTAAGATCATCTTTGACGACGCGTTTGTCCCTGGGAGAGCGACCCGTCTTGGCCCCAGAAAGCGTTGCCAATGCCCCGGTTGAAGTGATGAATGTTCCTTTCTCATACTTTATCGCTTGTTCATAAAGCTCTGCACCAAATATTCAAACCTCCTTCAATAGCTAGCTTCAAATAATTATCTAAAATAAATTTCTATTAACCAAGATATTCAAAGGATTTTGTCACGTCTAACACATGAGGAGTGAGTTTAGTGTTCCTGTCATTAGGAATTTCGTGAAAATTTTGTCGGCCACAAAATCATCCAGCTTATTAGTTAATTAAATTAATCAAATGGAACCAGTAAAAAAGAAAAGTCGACGCCGTTAGTGGGAATAATTGGTATTAGTATTTGAATACAAATCGACCACAAATGTTTTATCTGGTACACATACACATGCCTTTACTATGTTTAATTAACATAGGAATAATTTAATTAACAAAAGTAAATGATAATATTTAAAACGCTATGCTTGACTACTTCAAATACATAATCAGACGGTGCCGTTCTAACTTGAACTAATTTTCGTACACCGTACGTACAAAATTATGTCATATTACCTATTAGTACCGTCAACTGAAATTGTTAATTGAAAAGAGGAAGACGACCAAATCCAATGTAACTTAGGAAGGTAATATCTATAATAATAATAATAAATAAATAAATAAAAGTAACGCATGAAGGTTTAGAAAAGCGTGTACCAGCAGGGGAGAGATTGTAGAGGACATGGGTAAATTTCAAAGAACTGTCGCTAACATCAATGGTGGGAGTGACATGATGGTGCACGTGAGTAACCTTCTGGGTTTCTGACTTCCTAGCTGGGTCTCCTTTCACCAGCTTCGGTCCAGTTTCTCGAGTCAGTGATGCCAGAGATGCACTGTTTTATCAAATTAAATAAAACTCATTCACTTCATAATCTTTATTAAATTTTTTAATATATAACAATAAAAATGAACGCGGATCGATCAAATATATCAGATTCATATTACTTTCTTAGTCCAGGCGTTATGGTACACGTGGATCTACTACATACACCAGCCCCACTACCCTTTTTCCCCACATTTATTTTTATTTCTAATTGTGCCTTAAACGGATTTTCCGCTCGGTTGTGTTGAATATTTGTTTTTCCATACGTAATAATACTGTAGTTAATTAATTCATTAAATGAGGTTCCATAAATATTTTTCGGTAGTAGAATTAAAGTTTTCTCAAGCAATTAATATTAACATTTAATGAAATTTTTTATTACGTAAATTATTAAATAAAATTATAATTTTGATTAAATATATATATATATATTGTATATATATTTTATTTATTTTTTCTGTCCCATAATAAATACAGTTTTTGAAAAAAAACTCTCAAAACAAATATATTTTTTAATATAATATTATTACTTCCTTTTTATAATATTTAAAAAATAATAATTATTGTGATGAATTGTTTTTAATAAATAAAACCATCGGTTATTTTGTAAAATTAAATTTTTTTAATCTGTGTAAAATAATTTAGAGCCACTCTTGTTATAGGATATGAAGAATAATAAATTAATTTAATAGTTACTTTACATGTTAGAAAGTAGGCGTATACAGCTATCTTGTTTTCATTTTCTGGTTCTTATTTTGTGGATATTGTATACATTAATAAATGTGGTAAAAAATATATATATAACATTATTATATACCTGATGGACTGGAGTTGCTGTTTATGGCGCTCTTCTTCAGACAGGGTGGCGAACGGAGCCTGAGAGGCCGTAACGGGTGTGGTGGGTGCGGATTTCTTCTTTTGCAGCGAGTGAAGCTCGTCGATGGTCTGAGCCTTCACTGTGGGACCGCTGTCATCGTGACAAATCCCGTTATGCTTCTTGTGCGTCTGAATCTTCGCCAGTCCCTTGGTAGCGCTCCCGTTCCCGTTCGCAACGTTAACGCTGCCATTGTTGGACGCCATCTTAATCTTCTTTCTCTGCCAAAGCCAAATTAAAAATAATGCATAGCAAATTAATCATCATTAAATAATTCACCACCGCTTAAAGCATGCACCGTTGGATCGAGATCAAAGTAACGACTACGTGTTAGCTAGTGACATACAAATATATACAGTAACAATTGACAACGGGTCCACGAGGGAATGAAATGAATTAACTAGGGAACGAAAGTTGTAATAAGGAGAGAAGTGACTAACCAGAGGTTTGGTATTGAGATATTGAGAAAATGAAAGAAAGGAAATTAACAAGGGAGCATGGGAAATGCAACCATGTAAGGGTTAAGGCAAGAGGTGGTGGTGATGGGAAACTTACAAACTCAAGTCTTCTTTTTATAGGCTTCAGTGCCAGCGTGCCTTGACTTGGTTCAGATATTTAACCACAGTTAGGGTAACTAGGGTTAAATCCTATCCCTTTACGCCCTCACGGTCAAGCTCCAAAAAGAGAAAAATTCCAAATCTAATAATTCGGGAATCGGAGTCAGGCATAAGTTCCTCAATAAATGGATAGCTATCCCGTGCTCCTGCATTCCACGCTAGTCAATACTCATTCTCCACTCATCTCTTGTAACAACTTTTTTTTTTTTTATATTTTATTTTCCTTCTATATTATTTTAAACTTTCTTCAAATATTAATTATTTAATATACCTTTTTATTAAGAGAAATATTAATTAATATTTTCATTCATTCTTTCAATCTGTTTATTTTTAAAAATTACATATAAAAAATATAATTTAAACACTCATTTTAGATAAAGATATATTTAAAAAAATTTAATGATTATTATTTTAGATTTGCAGGTGCTTAGATAAATAAAAACTAAGAGAAATGTTATTTGAACAACAAATTTTATAATAATAAAAGAGAGAAACAGAAAAAATTAGAGAGAAAATTAAAATATAATAAAGGATATATATGAAGTAAAAGGAGATAGATATAACCAGTCACGGATCTATAAGTTTTAGATAGTAAAGACAATATTTATTCATATACTTATAATAATAAAAACTTTATATATAATTTTTAAAAGTATAAATACATATTATAATTATTTTCTACAAATTTTTATATCTACGATTATAATTAGATTTGACTAAGTTATACTATAATTTAATAAGTTTGAACCTAACTTTCGTTAAAAATATATGTACAAAGTATAATTTATTTATCTATCATATACATTTTTTAAATGTTTAGTTAAAACTATAATACTAAAGATCTATTTTATAATAATTTAACATTAATGAAAACATAAAAATAAATACGTTAAATTTTATAAAAATCAAGTTTAATTTATTTATTATATAAATATGTTTTTAATATCTAATATGAACTTTTAGATGATAATTTATTTTAAAACATGTTTTATAATTAAAATTCTAAATAAAACATAAGTCTTACAATCTTTATTATTTTAATTTTTTTAATCAACATATACAATAAATAGAATGCACAAAATATAAACATGCATATTGTAAATTTTATTTTATCAAAAATTATAGAGAAAGGGTTTGAAATGAGAGGGAAAAAATTAAAATGGATTTTTAGTGTGCAGAGAGTTTTGGCACCAAAACTTATTTTGACGAAAGTGACACAATCGCGCACTCAAACCCTATCACCAAAACTGTTACTGTACTTCGTGTTGTTGCTGTGTATTCCCAACTCCTCCTTATTTCCCTACCCCGCCCATTTCACAACTATTTATATTAAAATCATTCATTAATTAATTAAAATTTGTCTTTTATCTCTTAAATTTATAACTGAATTTTTTTTTAGTCTTTGTAATTATGAAAATAGGTTATACATTTCACATGGTATTTAAAAATGTATTTTTTTATTTATTGATTTTTTTTGTGTATTTGACGCTCTTAATATGAAATAAATTCTTTAACAAATTAAGAAGACAAAGTTTAAAAAAGTTAAGTCAAAACTATGTAGAAGACTATATAATAAATAATAATTCAGGTTTAGACTTTAATTTTATAAAATAAATATAATTTATATAAAGTTTGGCATGATCTAACTTATTTTCATCCTACTTGTATTTTTTAAAAATATTATTTTAATCCATTATGACTTTTAGTGTCATAAATATGAATGAAATATAGTTTGAGACTAAAATTGTACATAAATTTATTTATTACTAATAAAAAAATATAAATGATATTATATTTTAATATATATTTTTAGTTCCTATAAAATTAAGAAGTCTTGATTTTGATTTTATGAATTTCTTTCTTTATTTTTCATCTTTCTAGATTTTGTAAACACTATTTTTCATCCTAATAAAATAAATAAATTTTGGATTGATCTTTATAAAAAAAAAAATTTAACTTTCATCTCTTTAAAATTTAAACTCACTATTTTCGATATGTAAAAATTATTTTAAGATAAATGAATAACAATTATTTTTATGATCTATACGAAATTTTACGAATCTTAAACACCAGTATAATATTACTAACAACTATATGTAACACTTAAGATTTTCCCTTAATTTTTTAATAACAAAAATAATTATAAATGATCACACAAAAATTAAAAACTAAAAACAATAATTTGAATTTTAGAGAGACGAAAAATGAAGAATTTTTTTACAAATACTGATATCAAAATCAGCTAATTCTACAAGGACTAAAAATATTTTTAAGTCTATTATATTATTGGCATAAATAATATTTTTAATATTTGAAAGAAAAATAAATAGTAAAAGTCAAAATGTTTCCTTATATAAAATAAAAAAAGTATAAGTATTTAATACATTAAAATGTTTTAAATTAATGCACATACTGTAATAAATAACAAAATATTGAATACTATGAACATCTTCGAGTAAATTAAAATCAAAAGATAATAAATACAAGGATTAAAATAATCAATGGAATTAATGTAATGTTCATTTATAAATATTTAAATAAATTATAAGTAGCAAGGTATTATTTAATTGATGTTTAAAATAAAATATTTTATAATATCTGAATGAATTGATTTTTAAGATAAACTATTATATACATATTTAATTAATATAATTTTAATATATATATATATATTACAAAATCTTGAACCAACCAAGAAAAATGCAGGAAATGTTGATCTAGAAATGAAGATTAGAGAGAACTACCCATTTCTTGTTCATTCAAACCAAGAAGTATTTTTTAAATGCACAAAGTAGGTACCTCCAAAATATTTAATCTGAATATAATAATGAACATATGACAGATTAAGCCATAATAAACATGGGTTGCAACCACACACAAAAATTGCAGTAAAAAGGAAATATAAGATTAATGCCTATTCCAAATTGAATGACTCAATACCAACTATTGTCTCAGCATTATTAATTATTTCTACATATTGTCATTGTGAAAATGGAATTGAGTTAATGGTCAAGCTTACTCACTGCATATTTACATGCTCGGCAAAGAGATTCCATTGTTCTCATGTCCCAAGCACGACTGGCACCAAGATCAGTATAAACATGTTTTAGATAAACATGCTTCAAAAAATAAAAGAAATGATAGACGTCACATAAGCAATTAAAGACTACTTACATATCAAAAATAATCTTAAAATTTTCTGGCAGTCTGAAATCAGAACAAAATCATATTGAATAATGATTGATGTATCAGATAATAAAAACTTTAAAAATTGCCAACTTGCCTCCTCAGGCAAGAGCCCTTTAGGCCTGAGGCACTTCTATTTAAAAGAATGAGGACAGTGATGATTGAATTCTCGACCACATGGTCATAGGGACTCTGATGTTATGTCAAGAATCAACTATCACCAAAAGGCTTAAATTGATGGTTGAAGGCTTACAAAAGGCTTTATATCAAACAAGAATCATATAAAATCTAAAGTTAAAATTAATAATTTGATCCATCAAATATTCTGTCTCAGTTAACAGGCCACAACAAAAATAATGGAAATAAATTATTTCCATTATGAATCAAATAAACACACCATAGACAAGAGTAGTATGAAATGAAACATTCAAACAAAAGTGGCATGATGGAGTGCTCACCCATCAATTGCAGCCACAAGAAGCCAACCAAACATCCCAACAATACCATTTCCATGCCCTTTCACTTTCCGCGCAGCTGCAATGGCCACAGCCTTGTTCTTGAAAACTTGATAGAAATAATAGTAAATGCCCTGATAACATTTAAAATAAGCATTTAGATAACAACCCCACAGAAAAGCACATCACGTATCACATTTTAGACATGTTTTGATAAACTTTTCATACACTTATATACCAGGGGAAAATAAAAAGATGAAATGAATAAAAATTTTCTCATTAAGTTATAATACAACTTATACATAAACTAATTTATAGAAATTCTCTCATTTAGCTTATACAAAAGTTGATTTTAACTAGTGGATAAATTAATTTTAACTTGTAAGATAAACTTAATCCATTTTAACTTGTATTTATTAAAAAAAATTATTCAAATAGGGCCTTAAGCCTTGAACTTTGCATCTTTATGAATGGTGAATACTGAATAATGGGCAAAGGCTATTATGGGGTATGGTTAAAAACTGAAACTTGATAACCTGAGAAGCAACAGTTCCAAGAAGAGAAGGCTTGAGCCCACTATAGAGTCCACCCCAACCCTCACTTCCGATGACCTGAAAAAGGGTCAAATATTCAATCAAGACACCATCTAAACAGAACCAACCAAAAGAGAAAAAATTGAGCAAAGTTAGAACCTGAAAGATCTGAAGAAGAGTGCCAGGAGTACCCAATCAACTTCACCAGATTAGGATGCCTAAGCTGCCCTAGAAAATTCACCTCCGTCTGCACCACAAAAACACACACACAAAAAAATTAACCAGACAAACTAAAATAAAAAAAGATGCAAAACGCAAAACGCAAAATGCAAGACGCAAAATGCACGAGCCACTCGCAATGTCCCTGCAGTCCCTCCTTGTTCAACACTTTGACCGCTACAGGTAGCCATTTGAGTCCCACTCTCACGTTCTCATCAATGTAGCCTTTGTAAACGGTTCGAACCCTCCCTCGCCGAGGATGTAGTTGCCGCGGAAGCTCTTCGTTATGGTCTCCAACTCGTACAGCGTGAACGCGATCACGTGCGTGTAGAGCAGCGTGAACGGTCGATTCGGCGTTTTCTAGGGTTTGGAGAAAGAGATTCGGTGCGGGAGGAGCATCCACCGGCTCCGCTGCGGCGTCAGCGGGCGAAGGCAGTGAGAGACACATTGAATTCAGCGACGAGGTTGAAAAATTAGGCACGATTTTGGTGAGGAAAGCGTTGGGGTTTTAAATTAGGGAAAAAAAATTGGTGTGGGAGTTAGGGTTTTGAAAGGAGGAAGAATAGGAGGGAAGGTGAAAAGCGTTTAAAGAGAAAGAGAGAGAGAGAGAGAAAGGGTTTGAAATGAGAGGGAAAAAACTAAAATGGATTTTTAGTGTGCGGAGAGTTTTGGCACCAAAACTTATTTTGACGAAAGTGACACAATCGCGCGCTCAAACTCTCTATCACCAAAACTGTTACTGTACTTCGTGTTGTTGCTGTGTATTGTTCGTTATCAAGGAATATTCTTCATATATGAAAATTAATCTCCTTCAAAAGTTGGATAGAATCAAATAAATGAATATATCCTCTAAACTTAAATTTTATATATACGATAATTTAAACATATATGTTTATTTTATTATAATATAAATTTTATTTTTTAAAATATTTTTTTTTGGATAAAAAAAGCACATATGCATAAAATGGTAATGAGGGCAATTCATTAATAATAAATAAATAATAAAATTTTAATTTAATGCAATAACTATTTTATGTTAAAGGTGATGAGCATGTTTGTATTCTCGTTTAGTTCTGTTCAACGTCAAAGTTACAAGAGAGTGAAGTTATGTTCAACGTGGCTTTGGAATTCGGGAATAGCGTAAAACAAACACGCTAGATGTCTTTTATTTGATTAATTAATTCCTGATTTTGAGTGTCAAATGGTTTATGACTTGTACCTGTACAAGGATTTGCAATACTTAAGTCAACAAGTACTAAGAGTAATTGAATATATTATATATTTTACGTACCTGATGAAGGTATAGTACAATTATATTTAAAGGTCAAGAAAGTTTTGACCATTAAATATATTAAAAAGTTTTTATTACCATCTAATAGTCAGACATTACTCTTTATAATGATTATTATGATGGTGCAACCCTGATCGAATTATTTTTAACTATGCATTTTGATAATTCTGATGCTGATAATTATGGATGAAAATAAGTTAGGTCATACTAGGTTTTGAATATATAGACTAGACCTATTATACAAAATTAAAGCTTAAGTCTAATATATTATCTATCATAGGTTCTTTTTTATAAATTTGGTATAACATTTTTAAAGTATGATATGACTTATTAGCCTATTTAAAAGTTTATTTAAATTTAATGTTAATTAAGCTAATAAACTTAATTTTAAAAAATCTAAAAAATATTTTTTAAAGATAGTTTACTCAATATTATTAAAATTTAAATTTAAAGAAAATATAAGAGAAAAATTGAATCATTTTCTATTGAAGGGACAATTCATGTGTAGTCATATATGTTGATGTACAGGATTTATAAATCTATAATGAAATATATATATATATATATATATATATATATATATAAATTATTATTTATTTATATTTTTAATAATATTTTTTTAATGTATATATTAAATAAATAAATTAATCTATCAGGCTTAACAAAATTTTTTATAAGTTTAAGTTTAACCTTTTTATATAAATAGATTTTTTTAAAAAAATTTAAACTTAACCATTTTATTAAATAGGTCAGGTCATATTAGATCAAATCAACCCTTAAAAAAAATAGACTATAATTTTTGTTTTAAAATTTGATATATTCTCATTCCTACTAACAACTGAATACATAAATCTTCCCGACATTTTCACAATCAAAAATCAACAAGTTATCATTATTGAGACATATATGATACAATTCCTTAAAAATATTAAATCACTATAATTAATTTAATTATTGAGACATATATGATACAATTCCTTAAAAATATTAAATCACTATAATTAATTTAGTAATTAAAGAAAGGATTTAGATTCAATTTTCATCATATTTTTGTAATTTATCTTATAAATTTAAAAAAATCCTTTGAAACACTGAATTCATATTGAACAGAAAATAATAAACATTTATTGATTAATATGGTAAAATACCGTGAACAAGTCATGTAAGGGAAATAGTTAAAGAAAGGACATAATTGCGAAACGGCAGAATATGGATTAAAGTTTGAACATAGGATAGATGCACTTTCCGGACAACTCCGTCTGACGTGGTGCCGCGTATCCTTTGTCAAAGTTAACAATCAGATGCAGGATTCGCGTAACATAGTACTAACTCAATAATCAATATGTATCTATACATGAGCATATTTTTAATGTGTTTGTCAGTGAAAAAGAAATTGGTGAGAATTAAAATAAATAAAATATGGATGAATAAAAATAAGTAAATAAAATAAAATAAAAATAATATATGTTTATATATATTATCTTTTTACTATAACAGAAATGGTTACTATACAAAATAGTCTCAATTGATTGTAATTTTTTCATAGTCGATTAACACTTCTTAGTGATTTTTAAACCGTCATGTTTTAAAAAATTAACTGTGATGGTTTCTATCCGTCAAAAAGAAAAATTAATATACATGTTAATGTTATGACAATTTTAAACTATAAAAAATATTAAGAAAAATAAAGTTGCCACACAACGACTTCTCTACACTATTTTCACACATCTCAATGGAAAAATATAAAAATAAAATAAAAAATGTGTGGTTCACATTTTTTTTTTTATTTTTCACTTGACATATTTATTGCCAACCAAACTACCTCATTTCTTATTTTTCACTCATTTTTCTCTTTCTACCCAAAGTCTTTGCTATTTCTATGGTAACAAAAATGTGGTTAAGCAAATAAATAGTCGTGGACATACTTAGAAAGATAATCTTTTTATTAAAATAATTAAATATATTTATTTTATATAACTTCATATAAAATATGAACTATATTTACTAAAATATTACTACTTCTCACAATTATTGTGGATAATAATTTCATTTATTGTCTTTGGGATATTTTAGATTAAAAACATTAAATAAAATTGACTTAATTAAAATATGTTTATATTCCATTCAAAAAATTTAAGCAAATTTTGTTTATATATAAGTAATACATACAAGGAATGCTAGCTACACCCTCAAATGTTTTTTTCTAATATTTTTAATTAGTTAAAATCTATTAAAAAATCATTGATTATATGTCTTATTAGTGAGACTCTCTTGATTTAATAGTAAAACTCATTAAAATTTATGATTTTCAACAAATAATAAATAAAATATTAGTAAGATAATGTTAAGAAGTGCTCCTACCATTTATAGTATAAATCTCCATGCTACTGTCCTCTAACCATGTAAACGGGTGCATGGTTATTTCGACTTAACTAGAAATTTCGATTTCAAATCGATTTAGATATGTAATTATATTAAGAGAAAGAATATTTTTGCTATTCATAAAATTTTTATTGATTCAAACATGATAAATGATCAAAATAAGCTTGTTTGATACCTAAATTTATTTTAAGAATTTATAACTTATATTCACAAGCAAATTAAAGTAACTTATAATTTATAAGTTCCTAATATTTTTCTCTTACTTTTTTATCATCATTAATTTACTTGAAATTATTTTTTATTCTTTTAATTTAAAAAATATTTTATCTACAAGTTAGTATGTCTTTTTCTTATTAAATAAATAAATATGTTATTTTAATTTAATCAATTAACTTATCAACTAATCTTAATTATCAAATAATTTCAATTCAATATATTAGCTTACAAGCTAATATTACTATATTCATCCATGATGTATAAAAAATGGAAAACATATTTGATTATTTTTAAAACGAAAAAGTACAATATAAAAGAATAAAATATTCTTAAAATGAAATCCGAAGAAAAATATGAAAATAATTTACACACGGTCTAAAAACATATAAATAAAAAATAGTGTTTAAAAATACAATATAATTAATTTAAAATAAATTATTTTAAATTGAGAATTTTGTTAAAATGATACATATTTTTATTTAAAGAATATAGACAAAATTAATTCATTTTAATAAAATTTGTTTAAATTTTTATTAAAAATTTAAGGTAAAGAAATGGTTCTCAATCCATACATAAGACTTAAACATGCTAATTTTTAGAAGTAAGACTTGATCAAACATTAAAATCATGATTTAAAGAAAAATATGTTTTAGTTTCACAAAAGTGGTGACATTTTTTTAAAAATATTTTCAGCTACTACTTATTACACCCATTTTCCCTAGAATTTTTCTTCATAATATCATTTTCCGCAACAAGTTCACTTGTATCCTAGTTCCATCTTTCCAGATGGTCCATTATCACGAATTAAGCCAATGTGTTGGCCTGACATTATAAAACTCAATAGTCAACCAGCAAGGAATTGACTCAAAAACCGACTATGGGAACACAAATTGCAATGTAGCACGATAATCTATTAAATAATTGAATAAATATATTATTAAGATCTCAATTACTTATGATCAATTCAAGAACGAGACTAATAAAGTCTTTACTTTAGACTCCTTTAAAAATAATATTTATATTGATATATATTTTTAAGATTTTATAACTTTTTAAGTTATTTTTACATTCTTAAAAAATTATTTTAAAAATTTATCTTTAAAAAATATAAATATAATTATTTTTTTCAATATTCATCTCTAAAATACCATATTTTTAATCAAAAGGTAATATTATTATTTTTTTTAAAAAAAATTCACTTTAAAATTTGTCTTAAGCTTAATAATATGTTGGGTCGACTCTACAAGTACTTGCTCTTGAACTTCTACACCCTAATTATTGTAACGACTCATCATGATCATTATATTTAACAAAATCAACTACTAATAACGAAAATAAATCGCTACCTAGAATTAACATATAAATAGTTTTTGAAAAACACAATAATAGTATATACATACATGAACAACGGTTTGCATCACCAACTAAAAAATATATACAAGTATATTCATATATACAATAATCCAAAAACAATCATAATATGTAACCCCGGGTTGGTAGTCAAGAAACTTTACATTTATACAAAAAGTAGCAATAAGCTACACTGCCAACAACATGGCTCCCAATGCTCCACAAACCTCCACCCTAACCCTACCTTACCTCCATGAAACATGATCATTGCAGTCCAATCACCATGAAAACATGTAAGGGTAAGTTAGATTTCAAGAAAATAAACATATAGCCTACTAACTATCATCGCGATATTGATACCACACACCTCTCTAATAATCAGTTAATTAAAAAATTTTACCGTCAATTTCAAACCTTACTCAACATTGACTAAGGACCTAGAGGAGATTCAACAACTCACTCTAAGAGACAACGCCTGTTTAATGAAGGTTTTCTAATAA